GCCGTTTCCAAGAGGGAAATGTTTGAGTGTATCTGACACCGCATTGTTTGACAGAGGGCTGTTTGTGATTCTCCATCATGTTTGTTTTCCATACTTGGAAAGAGGTTGGTCAGGATGGGATATTTTGATCCCGGGTTAGACAGGGATAGTTGCCTGAACGGACCAGAGGGAAAACAAGACTCGTCTAGACCACAACCGTAAATGCTATTTACTGCATACTTTTACACTTAAGTATTTTAGATGTACTTAAAAAAATCAGGATAACATTGACGGCAATTTTTGTGTAAACCTTAAGATAATTTGTAGTTTGAAAGTAGCTTTTTTAAGATTCTTTTTTTTCCTTTTCTTTCTATGCAGTGTTTTCAAGACACTATGTCCTTATATAAAGAAAGTCTGGCGTTCAAACGGTGTTGACACTGGAGACTGGGTAGCTGTTACAGTTCAGGGTCGCCTAAGGATGCGTGTGTGTGTGTGTGTGGATGGTGTTCTGGATTGATTGGGCTCTGTGTATCAGATTATATGTGTGTATAAAAGGATATTGACCCAGTGCTGTCCACAGATTATGACTTATCTATACTAATCCAAGGTAGGGGGATGGACAGAGAGTCATTATACTAGGGATGGAGAACAAGTAAATACATAACCTTGATCAAATACGCTGCTGTTGAAACTATTTAATCCTGGTTTGGTGACTATGACTGAATTTAAATGCCCATAATATGCATCATATAAAATGCATACTCTAGAGACATATGTGGGTTTAACTGTAACTCTATTACGTGCTTATAACACGTGTTAATCACTGATAGGTCACTTATATTTGATTTTGCAAAACTGCAGTTACAACAAGCTTTTCTAGCCTCACGACCTGAATCATCTTATATGTTCCAGTTTGCAACTCACTTAATTCACGTAACTTGAATTGCAAATGGCAGCAAATGAATAACATTTTAGTAACATGCTTGCAAACACCTTTACATAACTCTGGCTTCTTTTTACATCAGTTATTCAGGACAATCTAATTTGCGTTCCCTTGTAGCGTCACATAAATGTCATCTTTGTTTAAAACCTCAAACAAACAGAGAGTGACGCTCACAGGTAATAAGTATGTACTGTGTGTGTCCTGCCAATCCAGTTTTGGTCGACGCGTCTACTTCTATCTGTTTTTGATGGCTGTTTGTCAAATACGCTATCAATCTGTCTTACACTCCATCGAGCATTTGGGAATTTACAAGCTCTACTAGGAGCTACCTTCTATTTTAACAGACCTGCCAAACTTCTTTGTGGTGCGAGGGAGTTGTGAGTTGTGACTTGCAGTTATTTACTGGGCGGAAGGAATGAGTGCTTGGGAGCCTTTGAGTTCGACCGTTGTGTCATGATGCCACGGAGGGGAGTCACATCAGAGGCAATTACCAGTTTTGGGTTTGGCCTTACACGAGACACGGATGAGAACATGAGGTGAGAGTATTTACTTTGACTTTGAAGACAGAGATTCTTTAAAATAGAGATTGTAATAGATGTCTCTGCTTTGGTTTGGTAACTCCATCAAGGCGACACCTGTTTTTTGTATTGACAATGGGGCATTTTACTGAGGTTGAGGTTGTTAGGTGAGAGATAGAAGGTCCAGCCAGATTCATAATCGAAATTGGATGTTTATCGGCTCTGCATAATTTGCTTACAAGTGATGATGTGTGTGTGTGTATATCTGACTCACATCATTATGACATGAGTGTAACAGGAAGTCACAAGTCCCTCGCTGCAATGTGAGCTGCTCCCTCCGCTTACCTCCTCCTTCACCAACCTGACCTCACTATGCTAATGTGAATATTTACACCTTAGGGTTTATACTTGCTTGTAGCTTTGGTTTCTTGTGAATTAAGTGTCTTTACAAATGTTTGTTGCAGTAAATCTTATGTGTTCTTGAGCAACTCATTTCTCTAAAAGACAAGAGGTCACAAACTTGTTGCAAGCCCAGATCATTTTTTTGGGGGGCATTTCCAGATTAATTTGAGAAAGTCTGGACAGCAAAACCCACATGAAATACAATAAATTTCAAACCACATTTAGAGGTGGATTGAAATATGGTTCCAGTCAGATTTCTAAAGATGCATCTTAGTCTAGGTGCTTTGAGTGTTGAAGTCGCAACTTAATACGCCAAATCCAAGAGTGATGGAAGTGCTGAGCAGAATCCACGCTGCCACGAGCAGAGCGCTTTGGACACTCCATAGACAGACACAGTAAAAATTGTCTGCTGGCACTTCCAGGAGAGTCTTCTATACAGGCCAAGCTGGCAGAAACCTACTGCATCACCAGTAGAGACATGTCGCTGCAGAATCCTACATATTACTGAGAAACCCATGCAGATAGGTCGGTGATATCTGGATACACAGATCCAATCTGGTCACTTGTAAATAACTGTGGAAGGTCTGTTCTAAAATATGCCAAATCTAATTTCACTGCAAGCTGAACAAAGCCCAAGAAAGCAAGTCGCTCTAAAAAAAAAAATAGATTTGTTACTCACACTCCTCCCAGCAGTGGTAAAAAAAAAAAAAAAAAAGCAACAAAAAAACAAACAAAAAAAAAAACAGATGGAGCGCTCTTCCTGGGATTTGTGTAACTGTTGTAACAGAGAATCCTTTCAGCTTTGTCCACTAATGAAGCCAACTGTCATTTCACAGAGTTGCATCTGTGGCTTTATCTTCCTTCTTTTCCTCCCTGCATCACAATGCTCTGATTTAAATGCGTGACAGTGGAAAAAGATGAGAGCTTCTCGCATTAGGATCTGTGCATCCCAAAGGTCGAGTTTACTGTTGACCTGACCCACGGCCCACACGAAGAGAAGATTACACACATTACTCTTCAGTCAATTAGAAATTTCCATCACACTTAACTCGGACTACCTCATGAGTATCAACAGAAAGTTAAATGTCAGAGTCTCGTTTTGCACATCGAGATCGGCTCGTCCCTGCTTTCTCCATCGATGTGGCCAATGTCAATTAGCCTGCAGCGTGGGAAGGACTGATTCAACCCCATTAATAGCTTATCCCCCACTATGCCTCGCTGCTGTCTTCTATAGCATAACACACAGTCCATACCATCCCCCTCTTAAGCATCGCCTCCCTCTCGCATGTAGTTCTACACACCAGTGCGTTCACTGTCGCTTAGGTGCTTAGAGTTCCTTACAGGAAGGGCAGAAGTGGCTGAGTGGCAGGATGTAAACATATAATGCATGTTGTATGACGTGGGAGGCACTTTTCTATAAGCGCAGGGCTCGTTGTTTTTTTGCTCATAAGCTTTAGATGAATGTTGTACTCCTGAGTCAGTGGTTATTCACTCTGCCTTGAAGTTAGCATCAAAGAGCCCCAGAATGGCTCCTCGACTCCAGCACGAGTCAGGACAGAGAGGTTCCTCTTCTGTCTGACAATGACACATTTCCTTGCTGAAGCCAGGGATTCAGTCTGCTCTTAGCAGACTCAACCGGAGCTTAAAATAACCTCCAGTTTGATTTAACCCTTTAAGGTCAGTGCTACTGCTAATGGGATACACACTCAATCAGGATTGACAAGCCAGCTGCTGCTGTGTGACATGGACCACAGATTTTTACGGCATCTCATGAACCTTCTGCGATGTTCTCCTTTGGTTTTTCACTCTTAATTTTGTGATCATTTCCTCTTGTGTTTATTTGCTAGCCCTGTTTCTCTCTTGCTTCAGTTTTGTTTCCTGTAGTTCTTCCCTCTGCTCACATGAAAAATAATTCTCTGTGAGGATTTTGCGCTCTAGTGGGAATCAAGACTGATCAGAGGGCGCATCAGTTATATCCACATCGTGTAATACTTGGTTTGCCATATGATACACTAAACAAAAATAAGCAGCTATTTCTCAGGGCTTATTATTGGTGTAATTATGTGTGTAACTGGAGTAGCAGAGGAAAACACTGATTTCCTCCACAGACGGGCAGAAACTTCTCCTGTGGTAGACAGCTGTTAGGTTTGGAGATGAATCGTATCAAGTATCTAAGCACTCGAATGTTTACAGAATATATGTTATCTGCAGGCTGTTGCGTGATGATACATTCAGATTATTTTGAGAGCTTCTTCACTGACAAGACAGGGTAGGAATCTGAGATTCTGGATTTGTGCTTATTAAAGATGAAAACTGGGTTACTTAATAAAGCCTGATAGTATTACTATTCATTATTATTGGATGGCTGTGTGATCTTGTACAGTAGATGGTTGCTTTACTGCTTGACAAAAGCCCATTTCAATAAGGTAACGGGCATGTTTGCTGACATAACTCATCAGAAAGCTCTTCCCCGATTGCCGCTATTATCTGGATATATGGCTGATTGCTACCATTCTGGTCTAGTTGTGGAATCATAATTTCATCTGGAATAATCAGAATCAGAAATTGGAGACTACAAAGCTGTTTGTATAAGTTTGTTTTTCTCCCCCAATGCAGAAAGTACACTAAGTGTTGTCAGCTGTATGGGTGGTAACATAAACTTGTAGAGATCCCAAAGGCTGATGGATGTGATGATAGAGACAGATGATAGGAGACCTGCTGTAGTGGCCAAATGAAGGATGGACGAACACTTCTCGTTCAGTGCAGGGTATCAATTCAATGTGCAGAAGAGCAACTTGGCATAAAGCTATCAATTGTCATTGAAAGTGCGTCTCCAGGACGAGGGGTCAGATGAGAATCCGAGTGTAATTTTCCTGCATTGATTTGTTTTCATTATCTGTCAAAAGCCATCATTTCTCTCTTTAGTCTTCATAACTGTGTATGATATAGAAGACGGTGTTGCGTAGGAGAGAGGAAAAAGGTCAGACTCTTCTTGTGTCTTTTGTCCTCCACGCAGCAAAGTATGTGATGATGTGTTGCGCTCGAAACAACAGCAGGTTATTACCGCTTTCTTCAGAGGCTAAATTGTAGGTGACCCTGAAAATGAGTTTGTGTTTGTTCATGCTGTCGTGAAGCCGTTCTCCTTAACAGCCTCACAGCATCGAGAGCAAGCATGAAGTCACCATCCTCAGCGGACTCAATGAATTTGTAGTGAAGTTTTTCGGACCACAAGGAAGTAAGTATTTGTATTTTCTGATCTGACCAAGATTTGTTTTAATTTGCTGCTTTGCTAATTAATGCGTTCCAGAAACAGGCTGTAGGATTTAGGGTTTGTTTTCATCCAGGTTCCCAGAAATATGAAACAAAAAGCATTTATTTGAACGTCTGCCACTTTAATAACCCTTCATCTCTGTCCAGACATATTCTCGACTGTAAAAATAAATTCACACCGCTGTTAAAAAGTGCTAATCTGATGTTTAGTTGAACTCCAAACAGAGCATGTAGTGACGGTGAAGGCTGTCCTGATGGCAGCCAGTGCAGCAATATCAGTCATTGTCTTGTTTGGAGCAGAAAGAGGGGTTCTTCACTGCAGGCCAGGAACGTAAAATGGATTGAAACCAGGCCTGAGGCCACAATGTGTAAAGCAGAGAGGAGCCAGGCTCGAGGGGAATTTGGATTAGGAGAGTGGCCTCATCAGCAGGAAATACTTCTTTCGTTTGCTGTTCGCAACATCTGTCACTGTAAAACCACTGCCACTTATGCATCAGTACAGAGAGGAAGTGGGTGTCCCTGTTTATGATGCTTCAAAACTATGTCTAATAAAATGGCACTGTTGTGTGCACAGCGCATGCCCGCTGCCGTTCTTTTTTTTTTTTTCAATGAGTAGGTTTGCAGTCATCTATGTGCCGTTCAGTTTCGGTACAGCACACGAGGGTCCTGTTACACACAGCTATTCTGGGAGAGCACCACACACTCGCAGAACCTTCTTCCTCTTTGATGTCGTTGTATCATTTGAAGTAATTTGGAGGTAAAGAATCCTCCGGGGCTGAAAAACATTACTACATAAAAACGGCTGAGAGAAGTGACGTGTGTAGCTCGTGTGTTGTGCAGAAAAATTGATAGAACTCTTGCAGACTCTTAAATTCATTTAAGCGCATGAAGGATGGGACATGATGTTCAGGGGAATAAAAGTCTATCCTCTGCGCTCGACAATGTCCTTTCATTATTTATTGTGTCCCCTTCTGTGCAGCGCCGTACGAGGGGGGCGTGTGGAAAGTTCGAGTAGATCTTCCTGATAAATACCCATTCAAATCGCCATCAATAGGTAGGAGCTCGGCCTTCACACGCACAATCATATCATGATTTTTGGGTATCTTGCTTTTGTTTGACACACGTCTGCCTTGATTTTTCAGGATTCATGAACAAGATTTTTCATCCCAACATTGATGAAGCGTAAGTTGATTTGAGCATGTATTCAAGGTGTCAACGTTTTGGATTTAAGACTGTAATTGTATTGTGTTGTCATTATTATTAATCGTAGTACTCAAATGAAGGCCTTGTGTAGTGAAGCTCATCAAATACTACTACAAGCAATGGCTGAATTCATCAGTGTTTTCTGCAATGCTTTTTCATGTTTTATGGCTTTGACAATTTTCAACAATCATAGTCTGTAAAGATGGCTCCCTGGGAAGACTTTGACAAAGAGGCAGCACTTGTGGCTCCTTCCCAAATGTGACAGTGTAGCTTCACAAAAGCCCAAAATATTAGTTCATTTGATTGGTCCTCGTGATAACATTGTGCATTTATCACCAAGAGACAACTGACAAAACATTTTAATTTAAAGCCTTGTCTGCGCTAATACAGATATTTATCTACACGGATAGCTTCCCCCTCCATTTAAGAAATAAAATTCTGTCCTTTCATACGATATCTCAGTCCGCCTGAGATCACACACGAGTCGAGTAATAAAACAACATACTGGGCCAGGATACACCAGAGAACCTGGAGAAGAACATTGTAGTTCTGTAGATTCTGCGGACTTCAAATCATGAATGCAGACACAGAGGAGTTTGCGTGTTGGTGAAATGGTGCAGCAATGCCAAGTTAACCCTCTAAGCAGTTTCTCTTTTTTTGCTATAATATAAAGTCCTACACCTTTACAGAAACAGCACAACAGTGACTAAACGCAGAAGAAAACAGTCCTCTGTGCAGTATGACAGTTAAATATTTAAAAACTTGGAATCAACTTGTACAACATTTGTCCAAGTGCCCACTGGTGTTAACAATACCAGGGAAAGAGATGGTAGCTACATACTATAGATATGTACTATAGACTTTTTTGTGTAGTTTCCATACATTTTATGTTGTTTAAACACAGCCTGCAGTTCAGCTTAGTTTTGCTGAAAAGTCCCTGAATTTTTGTCATGAAGCTGTTGGTTGCAGGGCAGTTTTTTTTTTATTACAGAATCTAGTTGGAACAAACGGTTTATTGTTAGTAAATTTTAAATGAGACGTGAAGCGATTTTGATGAAGGCTAGATTTGATTGATTTACCCGACAGGAAAAACAACAATAACCTCTGATCTGCTGCCTGCCAGCCTGAAAATTTAAGTTTTAAAGCAGGTTTGAATCGTGCAGTAAGCTAGCCCTGCTGTTTTTTTTGTAATGAATGATCCATTTATCAACAGTGCTCATCACCCAGCACGAAATGTTCCACCAAAACAATTTCACCCGTCACTACTTTAATTGAACACTGAGACGGCATCCTTTGCTTCGTGCTACCCACGACAGCTCATTGCTTTAAGGAAATATAAACGGTCAGAGCATTTTTCTCCCTACAACAGGGTGATAGCATGGTGCAGCCAGACCATTTTGCAACACAGATTGAGCAGGCAAAGCTTTAAAAGTTTTAGAATTTCCCAAACTCTTCTTTTTCACAAAAAGTGGAGTTTATAAAAATCTGCATATCAGAAGGCTTTTAAAAAAAAACACAATATGCATGTGAATGAGAGGCCAAAATGTGGAGAAAAAAAAGTTTGTTTTGCAAAATATTCCTATTAGTGTGGATGAGGCTTCAAATATAATAGAAAACAGCCAAATACTGTGTAAGATCCATAGTGACTATATGAATATAACTCCCATTTCTCTGGGAAGTCCTGTGGTTAACAACATGTCAACAATAATAAACTCAGGAGTTCATGCCAGGCTTTAGTTATTTAAGCCTGACATAAAGTCCTGAGGTAATTTATTGGTCTATTTAAAGTCATCACACTCCGGTCACATGATATTTCACAACTTTCTGAGTTGACAAGAATCGTAACAGTTGACTGCACACGATTTGTTCTGACAGCTGGAACGACTACACCTGTTGCGTCCGCTAATTTTGCATTTCTCTGCCGCGTTTGAAGAGCATCTGAAGCGACGCAGCCCTTGTTGAACAGCGACAGATTCAGCTGAACAAAGTGCGCCTGTTAGCCCCTGCAGCGACTCACACACAGATTGCTCGACCCTCTAACTGTGTTTTCTTCTCCGTTTCCCAGGTCAGGGACAGTGTGCTTAGATGTCATCAACCAGACATGGACAGCCCTTTATGGTGAGTGGCTTCGCTGCGTCCGTATTGAGTTCCCTCGCCGAGGCTTGTGTGATTATGTGTGAAGAACTTGACACGATGCCATCAGCGCAAAAAAAAAAAAAAAGGACCTGCAGCCACTAGCTTGTAAGGGTGGGCACATCAGAGAGAGGTGCACTATTGGCCCTAATCTACTTACTGAAGGGAAAAGTGAACACTAACGAGGTAATACCCTCACCCAGCAAGGTCAGAAAGCATTCACCTTTGCCAGGAATGATTTATCGTCTGTCAGCTGTAAGAGACATGCTCACATGCTCTCAATGGCAGCAATTATACGTCGTGTTTATACTGTGTGTTCTCTCGCTGTGTGTCCGTGCTCCTCTCAGTGTCTCTGTGGCCTTCTCGCGGTATATTTCCCCATTAATTTCTCATTTCATCCCCTCTGCAGGGCTAAAATAGCTACCGAGGAGTGTAAATGACTTAATATACCTAGCAGATGTTTCAACATCCATTCCTATTTATTTTAACTGCTGGACCCAAAATGGTATTTATGAAATTTGATTAGAAAAGGAGCTCAGACTCAGAGGTTTTAGATGTTAACACTCCAGATCCAGAAGTAATGTGTTCTCCTTTTTGTTAAATCAGGTCATCTTTTCTAGAGAATCTCATTTGGGTTGTTTTAGCTTGTACGTGTGTATACAACGCTGCCGGCTTTGTTGTGTCGAGTGTTTTAGAAGAAGAAAATCAGATGGGACAAACATGCACAGAATAGGCCAATCAGCCGAGCATTGTGTGTAATGAGTCTCCGCAAAGGGAGAGGGGGGCAACAGCAGCTGATTTAATCTTCTAAACATCATAATCCCATACAATAGACAAGGGAAGTGTTTTGCTTTCCCCAACTTGAACGGAGCCCACAGTGACACCTAGGAGACGAGGGAAGAGTTGCAGGTTTTCTACTAGGCCTCAGCTCTGAGGAAAAACTGAGGCCTGCTAGCAAGTGAGAGGGATTAGTGTGGTTGTAGCCTCGAAGAAGCTCTCGGGGTTTTCAGTTTGTGGTCTGCTAGCTAAGCCTGAGCACCATCCATGTCTAGATTGATCACGAGCATATTAATAGAGCCAATTAGTTTTATATTAGACACATCATTGGCAAAATTTTCGGAGAGGATTTCCCTGTCAAGTTGTTTCAGGTGAATGGTTATGTTTAGATGTAGCTGCCATGAAATGATCATCTGTTTGCTTAATTCCCCTCAGTGACAGCGTGTTTTCTCCCTCCCCAGATCTGACCAACATCTTTGAATCATTTCTGCCCCAACTGCTGGCTTACCCAAACCCCATCGATCCCCTGAACGGAGATGCAGCTGCCATGTACCTTCACCGGCCAGAGGAGTACAAGCAGAAAATCAAAGGTTCGGCTTCACAGAAATATGTTGGTCGTAGATTCTTAGATTACTGCACACCAGGAATTTTTATTTTATTTTTTTTTAATTTATCATGAGACAACTAATAATATCTATTCAATCCTTTTCCCACTTTTCATTCCACAGAGTACATCCAGAAATATGCAACAGAGGAGGCTCTGAAGGAGCAAGAAGAGGGGGCAGGCGACTCTTCATCTGAAAGCTCCATGTCTGATTTCTCAGAAGACGAAGCCCAGGACATGGAGTTGTAGTAATAGGAGGGCTCCCCCATCCCGCCCCCCTCCTTTAACCCCCACAGAGACTATATTTGATTTCCTAACCATGAAAAAAAGCAGACTTATAATATTCATATTTAAACAAGTTGATTTTTTTATTATTATTATTACTACTAAAACAAGGATTTTTATGGATATCTAGCCTTTGGTGTGTTTGACAGACACCCCTCCCATTCTGTAGCTGTTTCTCCCTGCACAGATTGTCGCGTTCACATTCTCTGCCTGTCATCTCCGCATTCGTTAGGTGCGTCATGTAGGAACTTTCCCTGTGAACATCTGATTTCTTCTACTCAAAATCTTCACGTTATATAAAAAGTATAACTTTTCCAGTTTGACCTGAATCATAATTTTCCTTTCCTTTTCCACAATGCTAACTGATTCTGACCTCCTGTTAGTCGCCGCGCTACGGGGCTGCTTAGGTTTTCGCTTGCCTCCGTGTACGACACCACAGTGCTATCCTGTAGTCGAGACAGTATTCTTAAGGCACGCAATCACACACACAAAGGTGTCTGAGCGCACCTTACACACAGTGCAGTGCCAATAGACGCTCATAAATCCACCTCAGATACTTCCTAAGCATATCTTTTTCAACATATTGACCGAGACAAAAAAAAAAGTTTGGATGCTGTGTTGGCTGTTACATTATTTTTTTTTTTAGTTACTCTTTGCCGACCTGCTGCAGCAGCCTGAAAAACACATGCTTAACAAAGTTTGGAAAACAATTTACCGCATGTCTCCTTTATCAGGTGAGTGGCAATGTGATGACAAAGACACGATCGGGGTGCTTTGTGGATTTGTGGCACATACACTAGCAGCACAAACTAATGTGTAAAATAAGGCAATGAAGACAGAAGTGGCTCTACTACAAAAAGGCTTTCTGGTCAGACTCACTTGGTATTATGGGAACTGAAAACAGACCAGAGCTACCCTTTAACCATCTGACCATACGAGTTCCATAATTCAGGAGGCTCACATTGTGCACGATGCCTCTGTGTTACAATCACCTGTATTTTTTATTTTTTGTTGTTTTTAGAAAGCAAAGAATTAGTATTATTGAGCACGAGAATGATTATTCTCACCTTTTCTGGTGTGTTTAGAAAACCAGCACCAAAGTCTCAAGCAGCAACAACAAAAATGGTCATATGGTTACTGAGCGGATCTGAAGAGTGATTTGTGACTCTCCATTCAGGTTAGTGTTGTATCGGTCCTCCTCACATTCCACTGTTACTCTGAATTTGCTCCAATGCATGCCCTTCATATTGGTCTGACCTGTGGTATGTACCCCGACTGCATCGACTGGACCTTCCCCACACTTTGTTCTGCTTTACCAGGATCTCGCTAGTTTGAAGATTTCAAAATAAGAAAACCCCCAAATACATGACATTTAGGCTGGTAGCATTTTTTTTATTTTTGTTAAGGGGAATTGATTTCACATGTACAGATTTGACTCAAAAGAAAAAAAAATAGCATTGTTGATTCAACGTGGCGGGTGTAAATCCATGGAAAGAAATTGCAATCGCAGCTTTGACTGTTTCTTCCTTTTCTTGTACTCTTCACATTTTTTTTTTTATTTTTTCCCGATGGGGGGGTCGACACGTTTGGCTTATTGTTTTTTTTTTTTTTTTTTGGTGTACAGCATATATCTTGTACAGTGATAAGACACCTCTCTGTAAGCCTCATGAAAACTCAGTGTTGAACCCGTAAACACTGACCTAGTGTGGCTCGCCGAGGCCCGCGTGGCAGTCGAACTACCTAGAGAAGCTTGAAATGTATTCACTTCGTTAGATTGCAGTAAGAATCACTGGTTGCTTTGTGGCGGATTGTGGATCCCAAAAGCGGGAAGATTCGAGGCCGAATCGCGCTTTTTGGGTGAGTCACCTCATCACCTCCTATCTCTACTCCCTTCTTCTGTGCCTCATCACAAACGGAACTTGACCCACAAAAACCACGTTTCCAAAAAAAAAAAAAGTGAAGGTCAAACAAACAAACTTAAGAAAAGCACATTGTTTTAACTCTTGACCTACTTTTACTCGCCTCTCCCTGCAAAATTTGATCCTGTACAATTTGTGATTTTGACATTTCCCCCCACCGTTGCACATTCTGTTGGGAACTACCCAGGGCTGAGTGGCAGAAAGGTTTAATTTGAGCTAATGTTAGACTTTTATGGCTCAGGTTTGAAATCCAGTTTGGTTGCATCTTGCATTGTGATTCACATTTTCACCCCGGAAGGTTCTTGCAAGGATGGAAAAATCATGCTAATATTTGTTGATCTGTGTTTTTGACATGTCAGGATAGTTAGTTTTGCTGGGTGGTGACTTCAACTAAACATATGCTTATATGGCTGTGATACAGATAGAGTTAGGTAGTTTGGTATACTTACCTGATAAAGAATTCATCCGATTATTTTTTATTTTAAGTCTGTTTTGTGGTTAATATGTGAGATACCCCATAGACATGCCTGCTTGTCTTCTTTCAGATTCAGAGTTGTACAGATGAGTGTGAGTGATTTCAAACTAGGGTGACGTTTGACCTGTAGTGAGCCTGATAGATCTAACTGTACAGAAATCAAAGGTTGTGGTTCAAGCCCCCTTTTTTTTTTTTTTTCAAGAGATTTGGATTTTTCTCCGTAAGCATGATTTATACCTGTGCTCATGAATATCATCACAATACAGACGCAGCCCTGATCCTTTTGGTTCGTTTTTAATTTGCCAATATTTATCAGACAAAGTGTTTTAAGCTCTGGGATAATAATTTTCTCTCACCGGGCCTGAGGAGGTTTTGAATGTTAGCTTTCAGCCGTTTTAACAGTCGCAGGGCTTGTGATCGTCAGCATGTTCGAGGCAGTATAAAGCTACGTGAATGTTTTCCGTGTGTTTGTGGTGAGGTTCGTGATATACATCCACTAACGGGACAAGCCTTCCCCCATCCTTACGATCGGCTTTTCCCCTTAAACTGCTGATTACATTGCGTTTATTCACACAGAGAGCCCCCTTTTTTTTTGTTTTTGTTTGTGTTTGTTTTTAACCTTGTGTCATCCAGCACCATCCTTGTATGGTTCGGCTAAATTATTACACTGATGAGAACTTGACCTTAAGTTTCTTTGTTATAAGCGACTCAGAAATCTTGTTTTACATTTGTGCAGTATTGTACTCGAGTGCTGAAAATATAGTATATCCAAGTTGAGAGTTGTAATAAAATAGCACATTATGATGCAGTGGTGCAACAGGGGACTGATGGGGTTTTTGGTTTTGTTTTGTTTTTTCAAAAAAAAAAAAAGAAGAAGAAACAAACGGACTCTTATGTTTGGGTAAAATCATACATTTGGTTTCCAGCATTATTTGCTTCTGCTGAGCAATAAATTGATGACGTACTCGGCCGTGGCCTGGAGTTGCTCTGCTAAACCATCAGATCTTTTCAGTGGCCTCCCTTGTTCTGTTTTCTTTTTTTTGCTCCCCACATTTGCTTATTCAGTGTCAACAGAACTGATTACTGCCTTCATTATTTGAGTTCTCTTTAACTCAAGAATTAAAACATCCTCGAGCCAGTGAATGATTCTGCTTTCCACTGCAACTTGAATTCTAAATTATTTTGGACAATGAATGGGGGGAGGGATAAAAAAAAAACTGTGCTTTTATTTAATTTCCTTTCGGCTTTCTCCCCTTCACCTCTTCTGCTTCAACACCACACAGTTACAGATAATGTTTTAACAACCCACAGTGACGACGTTAATGTGTCGGGATAGACGAGGGCCTCCAAATTTCTGCGTGAGGAAGCCCAGCGCAGAGCCATAACTACAAACACACACTCCCCCCTCCTCGCCCTGCTGGATGTAATAAGGATGAAGGGCTTGAGCTAAGTGAACGGACCGGTCTATCATTAATCCATAGACAAGACGTCCAAGGCCCATTCTCTGTTTTTTTTTTTTTTTTTTTTATCAGCACAGCTGCAGAGAAGCAGCACCCTGATCCTGTAAAACCACCTCCCCCTCCATGTGTTGACTGTGTCTCCCTGGGCAGTTGCATGCTTCTGGTGTGGAGTCGAGGCTCTGCTTGATGCACACCTCCCATTCTGTCTTGTGCTTGTGTGGATTTGTGCCCCGTGCCGGTGGCCGACCGCCGCCATCAGGGGATTTAACAGGCACACAGAGCATGGAAAATGGCAGATTTCTTTTTTTTTTTTCCTTTTTTTTTTTTTTTTTTTTATAGAAACTACGTATTTGGTACCTAGTGTGTGATACTTGAGGGTATAAAAAGTCAAAAGGTTTATTTTTTTGTTTTGGAAAAAAAAAAGAGTCCATTCTTGGTCTTATTTTTATCACCTTCTTTACCCTCCTCTTGTTTTTTTTTTGTTTTGTTTTTTTTTCTTTGCATTGTGAAGTGGGCATGCTTGTCAAAAAGACAAATGCTCTCTATTAATAGGCTTATAACCTCATAAATAGTTGTGTATAAAATAAACTGTTATAACTTCTTTTTTAATAAAACATTCAATGTGTATAGATGGTGTCCGTCTGAGGCTGATTATTGTCTGTTTGCAGGAAGTTTGTGTCGTTTCACCTCCTGAGATATTTTAAAATATCCTTTATGAAAGCTGTATGAGGTGAAATTCATCGCGCTTTTCTCTCTCTCTCAGTGTGGTTTCTTCTTTTCATGTAATGTACGAGTGCTGATAGAAGACACTTTGAAGAACCCTGAGAAATACATTCCCCCAGACCCATGTCCATCTGTAGGGCTGAACACCATAATATGTTATAATATGGCAACAAGCACAGCCGTATGTCATGTCATGGATTGTTTTTAAGCACTGGGGAATAAGTATTTATTGCTTCAACACAATGTCTCTACAGCAAAATTGAAGTCATGAAACAACCAAGCATGCACTGTGTTTGAAATCCTAATGGCCAGAGGGAGACTGGGGTCATAGACTAGAAATCACAAGTCACTGAAGAGTCACATAGCTGCAGCACAAAGTCAGTGAGGTTGTTGATGCTGCTTGTGAATTGCTGTCCCGCTGTTCCTGAAGGTGTCGGTGAAGTTGGCAGACATTTTGTGGGGCAGGACCATCCAGAGCATCCCACAGGCGTTGGATCGGTGACATGTCTGGTGAGTGTCAGGTCAAGGTAGGATTCAAACAGGTTCAGCTCCTATAGGACAGTGTATAATCTGCCAGCACGTGGATGTTTGTTGTTCTACTGAAATGTCACGTGATCGTGGCGAATGAACGGCATAACCATGGGTGTGAGGATTTCATCCTGATAGTGATGCCATTGAGATTTCCATCAACGAAGTGCAGATGTGTTCTTATCCATGGTATGTCTTTGTCTGTAGCATCACTCCTCCACCTCCATGGGCGGCTCGACATTGACAGCATTCCACTGCACGACCCCAAAAGTAACGCTTAACATTTTTTCTGGAACGTCCTCCATCTTGCTTGTTTCCAGGGAACTTGATTGGTTTCCCACTGGAGCCAATTATGATGCCGTTCTTGCCTTTAGATCAAGGCCGTGTTGTGGATGATGGAGATGGAGAGTCCTCACAATTTGAGCAGATATTATCTCGTTTAACACACCATCAGCTTCATCAGCCATCTCTGTAGCAGAACACAAGTGGTTTTATAGATGGACGAGCTGGATATGACTCAGGTGGAAGATTATCTGTCGTACCATGCTGTCTGAAACTATTTCTTAGATGATAAATGGTGGTGTTGTGAACATTCAAGTGTCTGGATACGTCCCAAACTGACATCCAACATGTCAACAGTCTGTTCTTTCTTTTGTCATCGGTGTCATTTGAAAAAAAACTGTATTTTAAGGTGGAATTTTAAAATCACTGGTCAAAGGCCTGTCGGTGTGATGGTCACTCTATCTGATCATTGTCCTTTAAAGACATGCCTGACTATAGTGTGGATTAACCCAGTCGTTGAGAATTTGTCACCACTTGAACAGCTCAAAAACATTTATCTGCACCTCTTCTAACACAGAAACACTTAACTTTTCTTCTAAGTGAGGAAAGAACACTGTTTGCATGCTGTGTTTGCATTTCTGTTCACTCTGCTTATTCTTCTGCAGCTCACATTTTCCTGTAGAAGCAGCTCTTCCACAAGGTGTCACTGCAGCACTGCGTTTCTGTGCCACAAATCCACCACGTCTCAGCCAGCTTGTACAATATAGGCCAGTGTCCGGCATGCTCCCTGAGAGCACTGTGAAACTTGAGAATCACATTAGTACCCCAGTCTTCCAGGCTGAAATGGTGGTGTTGAATGACTACAGCTATCCAAAGACGCAACTTCCTCCAAAGCCAACATTTTGTGGGTTTAAGAAAGCTATTTTTAGTTCTGGTCATTTAAAGTTGATCAGTGCTGATTACACCGAAACCTCTTCAAGTTTTGCTTGTATGCTGCAGTGATCTGCTGAGCATCGAAAGCAGTGAGGTGGGTTTTATTTGAATTAGAAATGGGACTGTGTGAGATTACTATAAGGGCAACCTTGCAATTCAATGATGGGTGCAGCTTCATCCATCCACCAGATGAGGGCACCACCTCTCTCCAACCTCTGTCTCCAGCTGAAACCCCCCCTCCGTATAATCACAGCAGGAGAAAATAAATGCTGTGACATAAGGCTGTTTAATCCTCTCTCTTCTGAAAAATGTATTCTGTCACGCAGCAATCTGCTCCCTCTTCCTCGTGTTTGCCTTTATAGCTGCAGCAGTGCAGAGAAATTACTGATGATCACTATGTGTTCATTTTTGTTTTGTCCTTTCTATGTTACACACCAACAAAAACCAAGAGCACCTTGAAATGTAAATGTTCAAACTGATGGTAATTATTAATGCTGTACTCTTCCGGTATTTAGATGGCTTTCTCTGTAGTGTATATCCTGTACCACAAGCTCCAGCGTGTCCACACCAGAGCCCTAGAGGGTCGTCATCCCGGCCAGGAATGTCAGTCAGGTGATCGACATGTGTCTGTGTGCCAACTGCAGCCCTGCAAAACGAGAAGAAGATTCGGCCAAGCAGGCATTGCTATAAGAAAAGGATTGCACAGACAGAGCTACAGTATTTCTACATAGTGAATCGTCACACAAATGAAGGCAGTTTTAGGGATGCACTAGAATCAAAGAACCAAAGATTGAGAAATTCTGATCTTCTTTGGAGACTAGCATGATTCAAAAACAGTGGATCAAAGATGTTTTTAAGTGTTACGTCTTTCAGTTGACCCTTCCTGTCTGATATTTCTAACCTCACACCTCCAGTGTTGCAAGATCTCTGCGAGTCTCAACCGAAACCCAAGATGACATAGAAGCCAGACGGAACAGTGACAACCGAACTCTCCTTTTTGTTGGCGTTACCCTTTAACCAGCTATCGGATGGGTGTGACTGCTTCTTGTAACATCTGACATATTGCAGAAATATATTTTGCATCCCCTCCAGTGGGTATTTACAATCATAAATACCATTTTAGGAGATACAAGTCAGTGCTGCATTTTGGAAACAGACAAAAACAGACATACTAGGACAACCTGACTGCCCTTCACTACGCACTTTATTTCTACTATTGTTCATAAAAGAGTCTTTCGAACGCCCAGCCCTCTGTTTTCACCCTGATTCCCCTGCATCAGAAGAGGAGGAGGATGGATGGATGGAGGGAGGGAGGGGAGGGGAAGAGAGGATGAGGCTATCTGTCTCTTCACAGTCCTGACCTCCAGAAGTCCAGCAACCTGAGATGCTCAATGAAATATTTAAAGCTTCTGTTTTATCCGCAGTGCGTTGGTCAAGACAAACTGCGGGCCTCCATGACGTAATGCCAAAGCCGCACACTGGCTGCGTGATTGGTCCACGCTCCGACAAGGGTTGGTCAGGTGTCCTGTGCCGTTGTGGCCTTTTAAGGCATTACGATGCCCTGAGGCTCCACATTAGGCTCATGAGCTGTCTGTTGCAAGTTATGATCAATCACCGTTGGCTGCGGCATTTTCCGTAGCAAAGCTTTTAGCTGTAAATCTGCCTGGTGTGTACATTCTTTAATGAAGGCTAAAGGCGCTCAGGTTCTACTCATCTAAAGGAGACTTTTTCCTGTTGTCACGCCTTGTTTTGAGGCCTCCACGGATGCAGTGTATAAAGAAGAGTAGTGTCCTTTTTCTTCATATTTTAAATGTTTGTGTCAGATTTTTGGTTTCAAGACCAAAAATATACTTGAAATGTGTCACCAATTTTGACCCCCCCCCCTCCCCTATGCTCCGACTATCTGGCTGAACCGACAGCACGTCAACCAAATGGGGTGAACCATGACCAACATTCAAACCTGGGTGTTGGGTGTCTCAGGCTGGGGTTAGGTGGCAGGCGATGGGCTCTCTCGGGTTACAAGCTCTGTTTCAGTGGCACAGCGGGGGGGAGCATGAGGCATTAGTGGTGGTGGCAGTGCAACAGCAGCAAGTGGTGCAATGATACCTGGGTCTTTACTAATGGATGAACCACTGATTAACATGTGCCCCCACCAACACCACCTCCAGTCACCCTCTTTTACTGGCCAAGAGCACACAGCAGTAGAGGCAGAGCTGGTGGAGGAGGCCCTGCAGAAGGAGTGCATGAAACAAGCATAGATGGCATATAGATGAGTAGCAGTTTTCCCTATGAATGAAAAAAACAAGATAATAATATGAGAATTGGTGGAGTTGCCAGCATCCAACTCAACTTTCGGTCTAAAATAGGTGGAGTTTCCCTTTAACAGCTGACATTTTGCAGCAGAGTTTTTGCACTACCTCTAATGAGCATTCACATTTATAAATAACATTTTGGGAGGACAGCCTGACTTTCTTTCACTGCACACTTTATTCTCAAGCACAGGGTTGAGGATTATAGTTCAGATGGCCTGTTTTCACCTTGATTCCCCTTCTCCTGCTTACAAATGCTAAAATTTCCCCGCCTGAGTTTTGAAATCATCCCTGTTATCTTGTTTGATTTAATATTATTGAAAATATCTTTTTTTTATTTTTACTTTTTGTCTGGACACATTGAGTAGAAATAGTTCTTACTGCCAAATATATCTATAATAACCTGATTAAACAGCTTGACCTGCTTAGTTTTACTTTTATCAGATCTGGTTTTTATTTGTATGTTTTTCATTAATGTTCCCACAAAAAGACAGCTGCCGGTTTAGGTTTTCATTCTCCTTCATTTTTTTTGTTTTGTGGTATTTTTACAGCCACTTTTGAAGTGTTTTATCATCTTGAGTAACGATGCTGCATGTGCTGAATGATCCCCTGTTCAGCATCTGAAGATGAAGAGTTCATATTTTCTCTGACTGACATCAGCAATCATCACTGTTATCTTGAATAATTTCTATTAAACAGCCTTTTGGAGGGTTTGTATGGACACAATAAAAAGGCTTGTGCATGTATGAGAGAGAAACAAAGACCAAGGACATATTAGTAGCTGTTTTTATCATCTATAAAAAAAGAAGAATTTAACTAAAAAGCTTGTCCTGCTTTGTTTTTTTCTCTCTCTC